CCCCTTTTACTTTGAAAATAATATGAAATTTCAGTTTCCGTTCATTATCTCCCCAACGGTACAACACATTCAACTCAAACTTGACATATGGATATGTCATGAGAAAATACAGGTCAAGTTCAAATTTTGGTCATGGTTTCGATGATTTTTGGCAGAGTTATGCCCCTTTTACTTTGAAAATAATATAAAATTATCAGTTTCCGTTCATTATCTCCCCAATGGTACAACACATTCAACTCAAACTTGACATATAGATATGTCATGAGAAAATACAGGTCAAGTTCAAATTTGGTCATGGTTCGATGATTTTTGGCAGAGTTATGCCCCTTTTTACTTTGAAAATAATATAAAATTTTTCAGTTTCCATTCATTATCTCCCCAATGGTACAACACATTCAACTCAAACTTGACATATGGATATGTCATGAGAAAATACAGGTCAAGTTCAAATTTGGTCATGGTTCGAAGATTTTTGGCAGAGTTATGCCCCTTTTACTTTGAAAAATAATATGAAATTTTCAGTTTCCGTTTATTATCTCCCCAATGGTACAACACATTCAACTCAAATTTGACATATGGATATGTTTTTGGAATGCCCAGGCCAAGTTCGAATTTGGTCATGGTTCAATGATTTTTGGCAGAATAATGCCCCTTTTACTTTGAAAATAATATGAAATTTACAGTTTCTGTTCATTATTTACCCAACAGTGTTACATATTCAACTTAAATTTGACATATGGATATGTCAAAGGAATGGGCAGGTCAAGTTGGAATTTGGTCATGGTTTGATGATTTTTTGGCAGAGTTATGTCCCTTTTCTTTTTGAAAATAATATAGATACATCTAATTGGAATAAGCAGTTTAAGTTTGAATTTGGTCGTGGTTCAATGATTAATAGACAAACTTATCTTTCCCCTTCCTGAATGTTGGAAAAATTTGAACTTTCAGTTTCAGCACTCATACTTTTAGCCATTATTTTTGGCTACAAATATGCAATATGCTATTTTTAAAAGGTTAAGACTGAATTATTTCAGTGCTTGAACATTGTATGAAAATGGTTAGTGTTAACATTGAAAAGTTTTAAGGGCTTTGAACTTAAAATGAAAAAAATAATTAATGCACCATCTGAAATTTTGGCTGCATGCGGGGGCATCCGTGGCATGATGACACATTTCTAGTTTTGTTATTACTGTAAGGTACATGTTTTTTGATTTGTTACAGATTGCTAAAATGATGTCTATGTTGAAATCTGTGCACGAGCATAAGAAGCGAACTGAGCGTGTAAAAATGCGTGAGAGAGTGACCAAACATCATAAACAAGTGCAGAAAATGGACTTAGTAAAACAGAAGAAGAATAGGGAGGCAAAAAAAGAAGTATTTAGAGTGCTTGGAAAAATGGAAAACAGGAAAAATAAAAATAAGCGGGATTAACAACAATGTGTTGAACATGTAATTACGAACGTTTAGTGAATGTTGATGGGATAGAATTAATATGTTAGTGATTTCAGATGTTTATGTTTTTATCAAGATCCCTTATTACATGTACTATTTTGAATTATTGTTATTAATATTGAAATTTTGGCTGATAATTTTAGCAAATTCAAGATATGATGATACGATAATATTTTGTTGAAATTGGTAAATAAATACAGAATACATAATAAATTTTTATGAGATAAAGATATAAAGCTTGTTTTATGTACCTCTTGATATTGTGTTAATGTCACAAAGATCGGAATATACTTTATCACCAAGTATCATCTTTGGTTGGAACTTTCTGAAAATGCTGTATTTAAGGAAAAAGATAACTGCTTGACTGACTTACATGTATGTTCAGTATATATGAAATACTTTGCCCTCTTAATTTGAAAGTAAGACTTTTAAGCATCAAGAAAACACAAATGAAAAATATATGTAAGATACTTAGCACGTTAAGCATTGGGATATTGAATATTCTGGTGTTATCAAACGCATTTAATGAACATGGGACCGAATATGTATCTGTCTGTCCCAGAATGAACATCAAAATACTCCTTGGCAACTGTTTTCGTTTCAATGCTTATACTTTTTATTGTCTGGAATTTGTCTATTTCAAAATGTGAAAACTCTGCATTTCAGTTGACAATTAAATGCACAATCACTTGTCAGTACATAAGATCTTATAATATATCCCCACAGATGAAGTTTAAATGGTGTATAATGGAGTCAGATTTTCAGTTTAAGGTGAATTTCTTCTAAAGTAAGTACACAGAAGATGTGCTTGAAGAAATACACTTAAAGAACGGAGAACTAGTACTCTGATGATATTGTCAACTTACTGCAGTTCTGTGTCGGTCATTACGCAAAATGTATTGGTGGTTTAATTTGTTTGTCTGGCTTGTACCACAGACACTTGGGTGTGGAGTTCAAAACGCCTTTTAAAATCCAAATAAAATGCATATTAAGTTTTTGTCAATTCCAGCACATGTACTGAATATATATATCAAAACTAGAAATGTGTCCATTGAGTTACGTGCAATACAAGTTGAATATTGTAAATTTTTACTAATTAAAGGGCAATAACTCTAAAAATATCCACACAAAAATACCCAGGTGCACAGCTACACATTCTGAGCAACAGTCCTGTAAGGTTTCATGACATTAGGTCAAATACCTTTTTAGTTATGTGCGACCAAGTTGAAAATTGGAAATTTTTACTAATTCAAGGGCAATAACTCTAAAAATACTAAATATATTAACACAAAAATACCCAGATGCCATAACTACACATGCTGATCAACATTCCAGTAAGGTTTCATGACTCTAGGTCAAATATTTTTTTGAGTTACGTGCGACACAAGTTGAAAATTGCAAATTTTTACTAAGTCAAGGGCAATAACTCTAAAAAATAATAAGTATATCCACATAAAAATACCCAGGTGCACAACTTCACATGCTGATAAACATTCCTGTAAGGTTTCATGACTCTAGGTCAATGACTTTTTGAGCTACGTGCGTCACAAAAAGAGCACGGCCGGACGGTAAATCTAAATCCCCCCCCCCCCTATAGTGGGGCACAAAAACTTAATATAAGCCGTTTTCAACGTCTATAATGTATTATTATTTTGAGCTCCACACCCCAAGCGTCGGTGGCTTGTACGCCAAATCTTTTCAATTATAATCTTATAATGAAACATTGAATGTTGATGTGCAAGCTGTTAGAAGTTTCATTCATAATGGCTTAGATATGTTTTATGTATTAATATCAAATTTTATGGAATTTATTGTGAGCGACATTTAGCTGAGGGCGAAGTGAAGTCATAACTTTCATAAAATTTGATATACACACATGTACTTTCAGATTCACAAAAAACAACAGTATTTTATTGTTTTGAGTAAATGCCCCAAAATACACATTATAATCAAAGCAGTTTTGCATAATACATTTTAGCTGTGTCTACAACACACTTTGTTATCTATGACATGCTTCTCCTTCCTCTCTTTATATAAGCTTTTAATAATTTCATGAACAAGAAAAGCAATATTTATGTGGTAAGAAATCTAGTTAATATTGTAGGATATTTTATTTCCTAAAATGAATATCAAATTCCCATCATTAATCAAAGTCGGTTTTGCATAAAAATAAGGAAGGAAACAATTTAGTTGCGTTTGACTTTTCTAATACTTGAGGGCGTTTCACGAATTAGTGAAATCGAAACTAGAAGGTTTGTATTCATTTCTGTAGATTTGTTTCATGTTTTATATCTTATACTCCAAACTGAATAAACAAGCAAATAAGCAAAGCAGACGGTACTTCAGTGTGATATTGTAAATATATAGACAAAGTCTGTTCTGTTTATTTTATAATTAACTGTGGTTTATTTGTTATATATACTGCATACACTCTAGCCTCTACAATAGGTCAATTTCTATGATTTTACCACAGGAACTTGACATTCTATCAATATTAACGATAATTTATCCTAGAAAAATCCCCTATATAGTATAAAAAGAATAGTTATGGGATATGTTTTGGATATTATTGTTAATATTGATAGCATTTCAAGTTCCTGTGAAATGTTCATCTTAAATGAGAAAATTATTTCTAGCGTAGTGAATAAATTTTACATAATTATGCACCCAAATATGATGAGTGTGATATATGATATTTCCGTTTCTGTAGATTTGATTTTTAACGTTAACATAAAGTCTTTATTTTGAAATAGAGAAATAGAATAAAGGCTCTAAGTCTCAGTATATTTAGAAGTTTTATTCAACATGTTGAAACACAATAGTCAATGAGACATTATCAGAATTTATTCTATGTAATTGTTATCTGGAATTATGCTATGTAATCTCTGAGGCCTTAAAAAGAACAAAAAAAATGTATGCTTGCTGCTTTTGTGGGTTATTTATATGAGGAACATTAGCGAAATGAAATAATTTAGTGTCCCATGCATTACCCTTTACACCGTATCACGATCAGGTGATTTCATATAATGATAACATAAATGTTGATACGAAAGAAGGCAAAGGTAAGCATTTATCTTTAATCTTCTTATTTACGTATAAATTAATTATGTATTCTATATCATTAAAATACTGTACAAAAATGGCAAAATATATATTTAAATCATCTGTCATAAGATTAGTTTTACTTAAGATTTACACTTAAATAAGAACAACAGACATTAAAAGTATCATGAGATAAAAAAGAAAGTTGTTCATGATCTTGGTATAATACATAACAAAGGTTCATCAAAAAGGCCTGTACATGGAATTATCGAGTATATTTTACAATAATTCTTACAAATGTATGTTAAAATACCTGTACAAGAAATTAGCAGAGTCCTTTATTTTACAATAATTCTTGTATTAGAATAGATGTACAAGGAATTATCAAGTGCATGATTCTATTAATGGAATCTTGAAAATATTTTCTTTCAAAATCACTGGTCTCCAAGAAAGATCGTAGATATTGTTTATAACAGGATAGGAGAGAATAAAATGTTTGATCACAGTAAATATTTCGGATATCAACCTCTCTCAAACATGGACATGGGTACATTGTATATATCTTTTTTTATCAAGATGCAGTTGTTACATTGTAAAGAATTTCAGTATTTAATTTCATTCGATAAACAACTAAATATTGTACAGTTCAGCTTTCAAGAAAGATATAGACTCAGAATAGATAACAAAATATTTTTTTTCAGAATGGCAGACGGAAGTAATTTTCAATCGTTAAAAGATGGTTCTGATGCAGATTTTGAATTCACTTGTACACCTTGCAGCAAAGACAATATCCGAGAAGAGGCCGACAAGTATTGTCCTGAGTGTCACGAATATTTGTGTAAGACATGTACAAGATGCCATGGTCGATTTATTGCTACACAGCAACATACACTGCTGGATAAAAGCGATGCTAAACGAGGTGCTGTTGTTTCCAGGATAAAATGTCTTTTCCATCCAGACCGAGAAATTGAAATGTACTGCCTTACACATGATATGGTGTACTGCCTCTTGTGTATTGCAACAGAACATAGGTAATGATTCTAGTATATATAATTATAAAAAATATTAGTTACTTTCTTTTATAACGTTTTATTAATTAAATGGTTGATTAATGGTTAATTTTTATTCATTATAAAGCGTGCTAGGGGCTTTGACGGTTGCTTGCAATACCACTACATGAGCAGACTCAACCACACTGATCCTTTTTAGTTTTGCCGTTTTGGGCGTTCTTTATAGATTCTGTTTTTTTTTTTTTGCCATTTTTTAATCAAACTTGTATATTAAATTTATCTTTATTACAAATTGTAGGTCTTGTCACGAAGTAAACAAAATTGAAGATGTGTCAAAACAACGTGTCACTCAAGCAGAGATTAAATCGCTATTAGATGGGACACAAACTGTACAAGACAAGGTGAAGTCACTTACAGTTAAACAGAAACAAAATGTAACTGCAATAGAGAAAGAGAAGGAAGCTTTTGAAGGGAAACTAGATGATACAGTGACAAAACTTATGGAACATATTAGAAAATTGAAAAGAGAGACAGCTAAATGTTTAAATGATAAATATTCTACATTGAAAGAGGAACTCGTATCTGCTATCAGTGTATCAGGTCGCACAGCTGAAGACTTAAAACAAACTAAGGAACAACTGTATACAATTGACAGTCTGGACTTAGAGCAGCAATTTGTCCGGGTGAAATTGATGAAGAAAACAGTCCAAGATGCAAACACTTTTATAACAGAAGGTGAGGCAGAAGGTACAAAATTTATCGTTTTTACTGTAAATAAAGAGTTGACGGACATCATCACAAAAGCAAATTCTATAGGTGAGGTGACAACTGGAATTGTCCATGAGCAGAAATTGAAACAGAGGCAGTACAAAATAAAGTCAATGAAAGAGATCAATGTGAAGCTAAGTAATGACGAACAGAAATGTTACATATCTGATATATGTAGACTTGCTGATGGTACGATCCTTATGACTGATTGTTTCAATAACAAAGTGAAAAGACTCAACACTAATGATAGTGTAGAAAACGTCTATTTGATTTTGATGCTAACCCTACAGGGTATATTAGTGTAGTAAAATATGAAGTGGCTGGTGAAAAATTAAACAACCAATTAAAAATTCAAAACTTTTTTTTTCCGTTGGCTCACCTCTGTCCCCAAAGGAAAGACAATAGAAGATATAAAAACACGGTAGACAGTTTGGGATTAAACAATGTGTTATTTGTGGTGTATCCTATGGTCTATCAAACTCAAATGGTGTTAACGTATACAGTACTTATCTTGTAAAATGTATCGTCAACGATCAAAACGGGAAGTCTATATTTAAATCATCTGTTCAGCATATGGCTGTCACTATGGACACAGCGATCGTGACAGATAGCTCTGATGGAGCTGTTTGTCTTAACAAGGATGGTACGGTAATTAGAGAGCTGAGAGACAGTAGGTTGAAGGATACTCGAGGTGTATGTGTAGCTGACGATGGAACGGTATTTCTATGCGGATCCACATCTAACAACATCGTTATGTTCGACAGTGATGGTAATTGTCTCGGAGAACTGATTGGGAAAGACTCTGTCTTGAAATCACCATTCAGTATGTGCTTCGATGGGAGAAGAAATAGGTTAATTGTTACATGTGCCGACACAAACAGTTTATTTACAATTGAACTTAATTGCTAAAAAGTCGCATTACTTTCAATTTTTACAGATGAAGAAACATTTGATAGAGTTCTGATGTTTAACAGTCTCAAGAAATAATTATTCTCAGTTGTTTGGCTATAAATGCTTATTAAGTTTCAATGCTGTTTAGCGTTTGATTGATATTGATGGCGTCAAACATATTACCTCTTATAAGAAAATCAATCTGCGAGTGATTTCAAATGCAATGTACATGCAACATTGTTTTATTCTTTCCATGAACATGTATTGATGCTAATCGCTGTTTAGAAAATAAAAAATACGAGTGCACATTTAAAACAATCTAAACCTTTGTAGAATATTCTTTGAAACATCAATATATTTTTCTTCTATAAACAAGAAAGAATGCTTGTCAATTACATATAATATGATACAAAAGCTTGTTAAAATTATGTGATTTGTTTCAATTCAAAAATTACAACTCTGTAATGGATAGATTTTGCGAAAAATGTTAAGGTAATAAAACAATGTACAAAACGAATATTTATTTTTCTTAAAATTTTCGGCTTAAAATGAACATGTATCAAATTTCACATGCGGCTTGATTTTGTAGTGATGAATGTAAGAAAATTTTAATAATCGTGATGTTAAACCAAACTGTTATGCAAATATGTTTTCGGAATGTCGGAACATTACTGTAGATTAGGAATTTTTATTTGGTTAATATTCACGAAAGGAATACAATAATCTATACATTTTGTCAAATTCACAAATGTTACTTACATGCTATAGAGTTAGTTGCCAATTTTTAAATTCCAAGAAAAATACTTGTACCTACTCGTAAGAATCCGACAAGAATAAGACTTGAGTGAAATCATACTATTTTGAATTTTTCCAAATGACATATGAACTATAAAAAGTATAAAGTGGCCATACCTGTGTATTATGTATTAATGGTTATATGCTAATTGAAGTGGTAGGAGTTACTCAGTAATTACTTTTGTTTTCATTACTTTCTTGATAAAGAATCGTTGAACGATCGTTTTACAGTCCAAACAAACTTTGAACTTTCTTGAAATAATAAATCATTAAAAAAAGAGCCGTGATCGAGAATCAAACTCAGATCGCTAAAACGCATCTGGCAACAGAGATATCCACTGTGGCATGGAGGCATTTGAATTTCATGAGTTTGAAAAAAACATTATTTATTTTGCTAATTTGCGAACATACGCAACCTTTTGAATTGACGAATTCGCGAAAAAAGATCATATAAGCAAGTTTTCGCGAAATCCTTGTGACACAAAAATATCCCAGTCTACAGTATTTCACAAGTTCTGATTATGACACTTCATGCATGAGAAGAAGTTGTAATTGTTCCTTTATTTTAATTCGGAAACCAAATATTTCTGTACCACATCAGGCATCATTGTCATCCAATGGCTTGGTTTCGATTTTGAAAAAAGTTCATGAAATCATCTATTGATGTAAAACATCTTATTGAAATAACAAGAGCCCGGTTTGAGCCGGGTGATGCTCCCCGAATAGGTTTTGGACACAGGAAAGTACACCTCTTGTAGTTTCAGAGTTATGTCCGTGGAAAAAGTTCAAAGTGCAATAATTCCAAAATTAGGCAAGGCTGTTACAGTTTTTTTGCACTGCACTTCTAATCAATGTGATCTATCAACTTACAAAGTTTCTTGATGATACCTCTTATGATTTCCGAGTTATGTCCTGGACAATTCAAAAAGTAATAAGAAAGGGCAATAACTCCAGAATTAGGCAAGGTAGAGTTATGATTCTTGTGCACTGCACATCTACCCATTGAAATTTATCTACCTACAAAGTTTCATGTTGATATCTCTTATAGTTTTACAGCTATGTCCTGGACAAGATTTTTCTAAAAGTGGAGATTATTAAAAAATAAGGCTTAACAGAGTTATGGTTCTTTTGCACTGCACATCTATCCATTGAGATCTATTCACCTACAAAGTTTCATGTTGATATCTCTTATAGTTTTAGAGTTATGCCCCGGACAAGATTTTTCTACAAGGGGAGATAATTCAAAAACCGGGCAAAATAGAGTTATGGTTCTTTGACACTGCACTCCCCCTCGATGCCCTCTACCACTGTATGAAGTTTCAACAAATTATCTCCAAGGGTTTTCAAGTTATGTTCCGGACAAAAGTCAAAGTATTAAAATAAACAAAGGGCAATAACTCCAAAATTAGGATAAAAAGAGTTATTGTTCTTATGCAATGCACATCTATGCATTGAGATCTATTCACCTACAAAGTTTCATGTTGATATCTCTTATAGTTTTAGAGTTATGCCCCGGACAAGATTTTTCTATAAGGGGATATAATTCAAAAACTGGGAAAAGTAGAGTTATGGTTCTTTGACACTGCACTCCCCCTCGATGCCCTCTACCACTGTATGAAGTTTCAACAAATTATCTCCAAGGGTTTTCAAGTTATGTTCCGGACAAAGTTCAAAGTATTAAAATTAACAAAGGGCAATAACTCCAAAATTAGGACAAAAAGAGTTATTATTCTTATGCACTGCACATCTACCCATTGAGATCTATTCACCTACAAAGTTTCATGTTGATATCTCTAATAGTTTTAGAGTTATGCCCCGGACAAGATTTTTCTATAAGGGGAGATAATTCAAAAACCGGGCAAAATAGAGTTATGGTTCTTTGACACTGCACTCCCCCTTGATGCCCTCTACCACTGTATGAAGTTTCAACAAATTATCTCCAAGGGTTTTCAAGTTATACTCCGGACAAGACAACGGACGGACAGACGGACAGACGGACGGACGGACAGACGGACAGACGGACAAGGCGCCGACTATATGCTCCCCCGAAATTTTTCGGGGAGCATAAAAAGAGTACAAAATATTCTTGGGGCGTCCGTGGCCGAGTGGTTAAGGTCTTTGACTTCAAACCACTTTCCCCTCACTGCTGTGGGTTCGAATCCCGACAGGGACTTTGATTCTTTCATGTGAGGAAGCTATCCAGCTAGCTTACGGAACATTGGTGGTTCTACTCAGGTGCCCGTTCGTGCCTGAAATAATGCACTGAAGGGCACCTGAGGTATTCCTCCACCAGTAAAGCTGGAACCTCGCCATATGACCTATACTGTGTCGATAATTAAGTACTGACGACCCAACAAGAGCGTCAAATAGATGTAACATAGTCTTAGGTGTTAAATGAAATTCTTGAGTGTGTTCATTTCCTTTAACGCTTTCACAACAAGTAACTGGACATTGTAATGAAAAAGTCCGTTAGAGTCAAATTCTACGCCAAGGTAATTGACGTTTTTTTTACTATTTCAAGTTGAGTATCACCATATGTCCATTGTTCGTTTAATTGCAAACCACCTCGCTTTCTAAAAACCATCACTTTTGTTTGTTCCGTGTTGACAATTAATCCCCATTTATCCCAATAAGACTTTAAATTATCCAAGCTCCGTTACAGGTCATCGATATTATCTGCCATTACAACCATGTCGTCAGCATACAGAAATAATTTTATTGTGAAATCTTCAAAATTGAGTCCACTATCTATGTTTGAGTTTAAATGTAGCCCCAGGGGGGGGGGGGGGGGGTCATTGTTTTTTCCCTCTATGTATACTGGGATCCTACATATTACCGGACAAAATATGAAGTTTTTTATCTGTAACTTTTATTTAAAATAATAAAAAAGAATGGAATTTTACCCAAATAATTTTGGGTTCCTTAATGCAAGTAAACATTCCGTTATCAAACATGAAGTTAAACATTTGACCTTAGAAATATGTCTTTAAAGTAGGGCATTATAAGAGGAAAAAAATCGTGTAAACAACTCAATTTACCGGATATTGTGTTTCAAAAAATTTTGTCGTGAATTGAAATTAATCTTTAAATAATCAGCAAGGAAACTACGACCATTGTATGGCAATGTTAAGATATTCTGTTCTTTGTCATACAGTTTCCTTTGATCATCATGTAGCATGTTACAAAAGTCATAAAATATATTTTATCTACATTTCATGTAAAATTTCCTCCCATGGCTATAACCCGTTTCCTTATATGTTTTTAATTTGCACTTCTTTGTAAAAGACAACAACGTGTTACTGTTTAGACTAAATTCAAAATAACTTTTCATCATTAAATTATGTTATGATTGTCTCTTGGGGTAACGTTGAAAAGAATTAAAAGTAAAACCTATCTAAAAAAAAACCATTAAGGTTCTCCATAATCGGGCCTGCGCAGAACAGATTATTCCCCCGCATGACCAGGTCATTGAAATAACTAGTAAACAAAAGGGCATGTTAGTAGATAAAGAACTGAATCAACAATATTTATCGGAGAGTGATTTTGTTGTTATTTACTTTGAAATAGAAAGTGTGTGTACGATTCAGACTGTATGATTATTTAATCGAAGCAAAAAATAAAGCACTTTTCAGCAGTAATAGCTTTTGTCCGGTAAACTGATTGTCCGGTAAATATGTAGGATCCCAGTATAGTAAAAAATATTTGAAAAAAAAACCCGTAAGAGCTGGAGCTAAGATATTTAGCATGAAACATCATGATCATTTATTTAATTAACGGCCAATAATAATTTCCAAAATTTCCAAAAATATGGTTATTTTGTTTGTGAAAGTATCATTCATACGATGTGATGCCGTTGTAATATTGGGTCGTTTTGCACACATTTGTACGTGTTTTAACCAAAATTAGGCAAAAGTGGCGTTCCCTCGTAAAACTGTACAGAATTGTTTGCATAAACCATGTAAACGGCAATGAATTGCACCGTGTGCGTGTAACAAGTTTAAAGAACACATACGTGGGCTCCAGTCTCACAAAGTGTTTCCAGCAAAAGATAAAATAAAATTTATAAATTTAACTTATCGACAACAGCAAACGGCCATATTTGATCCAACGCTTCTGCGATGAATACTCCACTGCCGCTGCGATTGACACACCGCTTCTGCGAAAGCTATGGTCAGTGAAAAGTATGATAGTATTGACCCGTAGCTGTTTTACAGAAATTATAAACATTCTCCTGTCGCTATCGCTCCCGTCGAACTTTCTAATTTCTGCAGAACAGCACGGATGAACACTAACATATACTTAATAAATTGTCCTTTGTAAACTTTCATACTTAATTTTTGTCTGGGGCATAATTAAAAAAAGTATTAGAGAACTGACCTTGAAATTTAATAAATAGACAGGTCACATTTTAGAAAATGCCGTACCTAAGAACCATAACGCTTTTTGACAGATATAATTTAATAACTTGCTTACAGTTTGTTATGTGCGCACATCTGTAATGTTTTTAGAAGTCTTGACACATTTCTAGCGCTAAAAGATGTATATTGCTGTCAATCATGTTGAAAAATTGGCCTCTCTGATTGGATAATAAATTGGTGCAAATATTGCTTATTTCACTAACAGGTTTTTAATTAAATAAGTGTGTGTGGTTACCATTAACACTATGATGATTTAACAACGGCTAATAAGAGTTTACACACAAAACAAGAAAATGTAAGTATTATAATGGATTTGTTTCATAATTTAGTAAATTTCATGCAACATTTAATAGCAACGCAGTATTAAAGTGACATATATAATCGCTATATTTCATTTAATTAAAAGAACCTTTATATATACAATGATTATTTATAACAGGAGAATATAAAGAAGGAACCTGACATTTATCTAGAAACTTATGTTATTTGATGTATCCTTAACGCAGTCAGGAGATTTGAGATAACAAAAATAGGTGTAAATCATTTTACAGGGCAAACATATAACATAATAAATTTTGATTCAGTAACTTCCTTTGTAACATGAAGTTTTATTGCAAGAGATTTTTATTTCCAGAAAATCAATTAAACATCTTGACAACTTATAATAACATTCAGATTCAACAAACAACAACAATTGTTTTGAATTAAGGCCTCCAGCCCAAAATACAAATTATATTCAAAGCAGTTTTGCATATATTTTAGCTGTGTCTTAATCACACTTTGTTATCTATTTTCTCTTTTTATATAAGCTTTAAATAATTTCATGAACAAGGAAAGCAATATTATTTATTGTTTCCATATTTTAAGTTTTGTTTTAATTGTAAAAAATACAATTTTGAGTCCCGGCTGCGGCGTGCCGACTTTTCGTTTGATTATATATAAACATTTCAAATTCTCCTTATCATCTAGTTAATAGTGTAGGATATTTTATTTCCTAAAATGAATCTCAAATGCCCATCATTTATCAAAGTCGATTTTAAAGTCGGTTTTACATAAAAATAAAGAAGGAAACAATTTAGTGGCGTTTGACTTCTCTAATAACCTTGACTGTTGAAGGCGTTTTACGATGTTTAACCAGAAGGTATGTACTGTATGTATTTTTGTTGATTTGTTTCAGGTTTTATATTTTCTGCTCCACACCGAATAAAGATTATAGCAAAGCAGACGACACTTCAGTGTGCTTTTGTAAATACGTGTTATATATAGACAAATTCTGATCTGTTTATTTCATAAATGTGTGGTTTATTTGTTATATACTGCATAATAGGCCTTTCTCAAAATATATGCATACTTTACATTCCATCACCAGAGAGAGGCTAACAGGGCATGAATGTAAACAAGTAATGTCTGACCTGATAAGCCCAAGTGTGTTAAACTTACCAGGGAAAATATAATTTTTATTGTTGTGTTCCACTCTGTTATTCCAATTCTAAATATGATTATACGGTTAATTTTCATAAAAAACCTAAGGATGTGAGTTAAATAAAGGAAGGATTGTGGAAATAAGATGGGGATGAATGAGAACATTCCGAGGTAAAATTTCATTGTTCTTTTCTTTTTTAAACTAAGCTACTTTAGATGTATTACTACTTACATTAATTAATCTGATTTCTCATTGTTTTAAATGTTTCATTTAATTATTAACATAATAAAATGTTTTGTTCATTAATTTCATTTAAATATCACACTTATGATTAATCTAAATCAATACCGTTTTTATACTAAAAAACAATAACAGTTATTTTGTTTACCATTTCAGATCAATATATGACAAGACAATAGTGCTTGTTTTGAAGCATTTCACACAATAAGATTAACAATCATGGACACAAATTCATATATGTCAGAAGAGAATAGACGTACCCTCTTGGTTCAAATGGAGAAGTAATGAACAGACCAGTAAGATGGACACTAAAGAAGAATTTTGCCAGATGAAAGGTAGATCACAAGACTTAATTTTCATTTTTACACAGAAATAAAGTTCAGCTACAGTAAAAAATACTATAAATGCAATTACAATATAAATTGATATATTCTAGAAATGTCATAATTCTTGTTACCACTGCATAATTAAATGTATATATATTTTTCAGGAATTCCATTGGTAACAGTAATGAACACAAATTGACAACTGCTATTTGAATCGCCTTAAGTTGTAATATCTCTTTATGGCAGTTGCAGAACAGATGAAAAAGAAACTATCAAACAGTTCAAAGAAGAATTACAGAAAACTGAGGAAGAAAATAAAATGTGATATTGAACTTTTGATACAAACAAATTTTTAAATGAAAACAGCTGCATATCTTGTTTATTTTGGATATTCAACATATGTATATTCATTACAGTTTTCAATGTTTAAAACATCAGCAAAAACATTAAGAGCTTTTATTATGAAGCAAGCAAAACAAACAGCTTGACTGATAGAAAGAGATAGATGTTGCAAGCTGACAAAATGTATTTTTAGCATATTTTAAAGGACCATTTGTTTAGTCTTTTGTGTCTTAATTCAAATAAAATAATTAAAAAGAAATCATCGCATTACTTTGTTTTTAACATTACTTTGTTTTTAACATTGTGCTTTGTAACATATATGGTACAGCTGTAGGGAATATGTCAACACGGTAATAACATTTAATATTTTGTCCTCTTATTGCATTATATACTGTTGAGTGAATGCTAAAAGAAGTGCTGAAGCTAGATGCTGTCTTTCCTAATACCCTCCGACTGCAAGGTCCTGCACATGTATTCTGCAAATGTTTAGTCCCCTAAGTAAATGAAATGTCTGGGGTTGTTAAATCCAGGCAACATGCTCTGGAAGTGCTGTGTACCCCAATGATTTGTTATATATCAGCAAGTACAGGGTTCAACAATGTGACCACATTATCAAGTCGGACCAACTGGACAAGTGCAATAAGCTAATGATACCTCAGATTTGACTGATATTTGCAATTAAATGATTGTAATTTGTTAAATACTAAGTATTTAATACTGTAATTAGTTAAAACAGTTGATAATATATAAGTTTTACATCCGTTACTTAGCATGAAATGTATGTTTCCAATGCTGTAAACAACATCGTGTGTTAAGATACTGAAAATCCATTGAAATGTATAAGACGGGGGTGTGGTGTCATGTCTAAACAAAATTGTTATTTTGATTTGGTAAGGTTGTCTGTAAAGTTAACCAGTTACTAGACAGTCATCCAGAATTTTTGATTTTCAAATACAAAATGAATAAAACTTATTTTTTTTTATTTCAATGGCTATAAATTTAGGGGAAGTATGTTACTGAATTCAGCATCCAACTGTTTACATCTATTATCAGTTAATTGCCCTATACATTCTTGACCAACATGTGTTTAGATAAGCAATAAAATACTCATAACACAGATAATGTCTGTATAAGTTGCAAAGAGTTAACCTGATATGCATACTTGTCACAGAATATTAGGAATTAATTAGAATTATCATAAACATTAATTCACTTTTCAGGTCTTGAATACATGTGTATCCTTCACCTTATATAGCGTAAAATAAACCATTTATCTCCAGAAGAGATTTTTGTAATGTTAAATATAACATTCAACAAGTATGTAGTACTATTAGTACTAAATCAAGATCTCTAAATCTTTCGGCCATATATTCGTGATAAGTTTACATAGAGCAGATACTGGAGCTTGCCCTGTTAGCCTCGTTCTGAGAAATCTATGAATATGTATGAGGTAATATTAAGAAGGGTCTATATACTGCATACACTCTAGCCTCTACAGTAGGTCAATAACTATGATTGTACCACAGGAACTTGACATTCTATCAATATTAACGATAATATGAATAAAACATAGTATAAAAAGAATAGTTAGGGGGTATTTTTTTTATATTATTGTTAATATTGACAGAATTTCAAGTTCCTGTGGAATGTACATATTAATTGAGAAAATTATTTCAAGAGTACTACAGTAAGTTATAAACTTAATATAATTTTGCATCCATATATTGGAGTGTGATATATCAAATTTTTGCTTATGTAGATTTGATTTTTAACGTTATAAACTTTAAAAATAACTTAAAGTATTTATTTTGAAATAGAGAAATAGAATAAAGTCTCTTCTCAGTATGTTTAGAAGTTTTATTCAACAAGTTTTTTTTATAACCCTGATGAAGACTCGTAAGAGTCGAAACGTCGGTTAGCATCATTAAATAAACTTTAAAACTTATCCTGTGTTGATTGTTTGTTCCACTTTTATTGTTTTTCTTGTAAGTTGAAATAATATGTAATAAAACAGACAGTCAATGAAACATGTATCAGAATTAATTCTATGTAATAATGTTATTCGGAATATTATGCGTATATATTATTTAATAATGCTATGCTATCCTTGAGGACACTAAAAGAAAAGAAAAACAAAATGTATAATAGTATGTTTGGTGCTTATTAATGTTATTTATAAGGGGAAAAATTAGATATAAGAAATTAAAAAAATTAGTGTCTCATTACCGTTTACACGTATCACGATCAGGTGATTGCACATAAATAAGGACTGAGTAAAATTTTAAAAACGAAAGCAGGCAAAGGTAAGTATTTATCTTTAGTATTCTTATTTATAAATAAATTATTGTTCGATATCATTAAAATACTGTACAAAATGGTCAAATGTATTGAAATAATCTGTTTTAAGATTAGTCTCAAGAAAATCACTAATAAAATGTAACATGAGATAAAACAAAGATGTTTATGATATATGTTTACATACCAAAGTTCCTAAAATACCCGTACAGGAAATTATCGAGTGTACTTGACAATAATTCTTATGTTATTGTACCATTACTTATCAAGAACATGATTCTATCTATATGTATTTGTGAAAATATTTTCTTTCAAAATCTGTGGGCCCCAAGAAGGATCGTAGGTATTGTTTACAAACAGGATGGGAGAGAATCTCATTTATAGTAAATTACATGCCTGATTTAGAAAAACTTAAACATCTCTCAAACACGGATATGGGCGCATTGTACATATATCTTTTTATGTGGATACAGTTGATATATTGTTAAGGTTTTCGGTTTTTCATTCCATTTGATAAAAAACTAAATATTGTATAATTCATCTGATGCTTTCCGTGAATAGATTTACTTAGATAAAAAGATAATTTATTCCAGAATGGCAGAAGGGAGCAATTTTCAATCGTTAAAAGATGGTTCTGATGCAGATTTTGAATTCACGTGTACACCTTGCAGCAAAGACAATATTCGAGAAGAGGCTGACAAGTATTGCCCTGAGTGTCAAGAATATCTGTGTAGGACATGTACACGATACCATAGTCGACTCAAGGCTTCACAGCAACATAAACTGCTGGATAAAAATGACGTCAATCGAGGCTTACATATAGCAAGGACTAAATGCCAGTACCATGCTGACCGAGACATTGAAATGTACTGCAAAACACATGATATGGTTTATTGTACGATGTGCATTGCAACAGAACATAGGTAATGGTTGAACTAAACATATCTAACATTTTAATCAGTCTCAGGTTTTTTTTTTGGGTTATAAATATCATGAAAGTTTGCCTTCAATTTTAGATATGTGAATCGGGTCAAATGTAGTCTGTACTATTAACAGATTATGTTTCAACTCCTGTAGTAAATAACATTATGATTTTACGGTGTATTGCCATTGGATATCTCCCTATTTCTCCATATATTGCCTCTAGATTAATTGATTTACGGACACAAAAAATTCTTTTGAAGAAATTTACAATGTACAAGTTCTATATTTTTACAATCATAGTATCCAAACATTTCTTCGCTATAATTTAGGACATATCCTACTAATGTATCAAATAGTTTACATTTATCTTGAATCTTTAGATCTAGTTGGTTAAATACTGTAAAAAGGTTATGCATAGAAAATGATGAATGTTGGGCAAGATGCTTTTGTGTCCTATGCCAGTGTCCATTTTTAAAGAAATTAAGGCCTAAATATTTAAAGCTTTTTACGACTTCTAACGTTTGACTGTTGAAAATGAAGTTAAATGTTGAATGTCTACCTTCTTCAAATATCATTATTTTAGTTGTGTTAACTTTCAGATTCCATGTTTGGCAGTATGAATTCAAATCATTTAATATTGACTGTAATGCATCGGGTGTATTGGCAAAAAGAGCTGTATCATCAGCAAAAAGTAGCATCAATAATTTTAGGTCATGTACGGTGAAATTTCCATCAATATTACAATTAATGTTATGAATTATGTCGTTTACAAAAAATAAAAGTAAAAGACTTGAACTGGGGTCACCTTGTTTTGCGCCTGTATTTGAGATGAAGTTTGATGATACCTCTTTATTATACATTTCGCTGCTTTACCTTTTTGGAATCAAATTAATTAACTATTATAGTTTTATGTTTAATAGTCGGTTTTAAATGGCTGTCTATATCCACGTCTGGTAGAGGCACTAGCTTTCCTTTTTCTGCTCGTTTTAACTTTTTTTCTGTGGGTTTTTGTCAGATTGAGATTCTCAGACATTAGACCTCCTATTTAGCTTCACTTTGTAACAAAAAAACCAAAATAATCCAATTGTTTGGTAGGAAAAATTAGTAAAATTGAGAGAGAGAAAAAATCACGTGTTACACTTAACACCGTAAACCGTTATCATACGACCTATACTGTGTCAGTGTGACGTAACATCCACACACGAACAAACAATTATATTTTGTAGGTCTTGTGATGGAGTAAACAAGATTGAAGATGTGTCCAAACAAAGCGTTACCCAAACGGAGATTCAAGCCCTATTAGATGAGACAAAGAATGTACATGACACTGTAAAATCCCTGACAGTAAAACAGAAACAGAATTTAACCGTAATAGATAAACAGAAAGAAGTTATTGAAGAAAAACTAGATGATACAGAGACAAAACTTATAGAACATATTAGAAAATTAAAAAGAGAGACAGCAAAATGTTTGAATGATAAATATTCTACACTGAAGGAGGAACTCGTTTCTTCTCACAGTATATCAGGTCGAACAGATAAAGTGTTGAAGCAAACTACGGAGCAACTGCAATTGATTGATAGTCTGAATATAGAGCAACAATTTGTCAGGATGAAGTTGATGAAAAAGATTGTCAAAGATGCAAAAACTTTAATTACAAAAGGTGCGACAGAAGGTACAACATTTATCGAGTTTACTGTAAATAGAGAGCTGACGGACGTCAATAAAAAAATAAAATCTTTAGGTGATGTAACAACCGGAATTGTGGATGAGCAGATTGTGAAACAGAGGCAATACAAAATAAAGTCAACGAAAGAGGTCAATGTGAAGCTGAGTAATGACAATATGGAATGTTACATATCTGATATCTGCAGACTTCCTGATGGTAAGATACTTCTGACTGATTGTAACAATAACAAAGTGAAAAGACTCAACATTAATAATAGTGTAGAAAACATATATGATTTTTATGCTTGTCCTTCAGGTATATGTTGTGTCAGTAACAGTGAAGTGGCTGTGAAATTAGACAACAATAAAATACAACTCTTTTCTGTTGGCCCACCTCTGTCCAAAGGAAGGACTATAGATATAGAAAACGGTAATCAGTTTGGATTAACAATGTGTTGTGGTGATCTATGGTCATCAGCCTCAAATGGTGTTAACGTATACAGTACATCATCAAAGCTTGTTAAATCTATCGTCAACGATCAAAACGGGAAGTCTATATTTAAATCCAATGTTCAGCAGATGTCAGTCACTTCTGATACAGTGATCGTGACAGATTGCTCTGATGGAGCTGTTTGTCTTAACAAGAATGGTGTGGTCATTAGAGAGCTGAGAGACAGTAGATTGAAGTGTACCGTAGGTGTATGTGTAGCTGATGATGGAACGGTATTCATATGTGGATATCAATCTAACAACATCGTTATGTTCGACAGTGATGGTAATTGTCTCGGAGAACTGATTGGGAAAGACTCTGGCTTGAAAAAACCAGTCAATATGTGCTTTGACGGGACAAAAAAAAGGTTAATTGTTGGATTTTACATCAAAGACACCCTATTTGTAATTGAATTTGCTTAAGATAGATCGCAAAACTTTCAACTTCTAACCGGTAAATTCCTTAAAATAAGTTTATGCTGAATTGTGATGTTTTACAATTTTCAGAAATAAATCTAATGTATTTATTGGCTATAGATGCGAAATAACTATCAATATTGTTTAGTACTTGGTTTATATTGATGTTTTCAATCAACTGAAAAACTCGTGTCATAAAATCAATATGTGAATTATATAAAATGTTATTTGCATGCGACATTGTTTTAGTCTTTCGACGCACATGCGTTAGTCCTAAATGCTGTTTAGAAAATAGAAACAATAATTAAAAATATATTTTAAATTTTTGTAGAACAATCTTTGTAACACAATTATATCATTCTTCTATAAACAAGATATAATGCCTGTCAGTTATACATAATATAATATAAAATCTTGCTAAAATTGTGTCATTTGTTGCAATTAAATTAAAAATTAGAACTCTGTAAGGGATAGATTTTGAGAAATATTAGAAGATGATGCAAATGAACTTTTATTATTCTTAAACGTTTCAGGCTTTAAATGAACATATTACATGTATCAAATTTCACATGTGCATATTCGGATTTTTGTTGATGAATGTTAGTAAAATGTAATAATCATGATGTTAAGATACATTATTATGTTAATCTGTTCAAAATGTCGGACCATTACTTTTATTTTCGTTTATATTCACAAAAGGAATACAACAATTTATACATGCTGTAAAGTTCACAAATGTTACTTACATGCTATAAACTAAGTTGCCAATTTTTAAATTCCAAGAAAAATACTTGTACCTACTCGTAAGAATCCGACAAGAATAAGACTTTAGTGAAATCATACTATTTTGAATTTTACAAATGACATAATTACAATTAACGTATGAACTATGAAAAGTAGGGCATACCTATGTATTATGTATAAATGGTTATATGCTGATTGAAGTGGTATATAGGAGTTACTCCTTAATTACTTTTGTTTTCATTATTTCCTTGATAAAGAATCGTTATGTATATGATCGTTTTACTGCCCAAACAAACTGTGAACTTTCTTCAAATAAAAGAAATCATAAAAAAGAGCCGTGATTGAGAATCAACGCAGATCATCACTAAACTAGCAACAGAGATATCCACTGTGTCGTTGAGGCATTTGAATTTCACGAATTTGAAAAATGACATAAAGGTGTATTATACACGCCTAATTTAAATTCCTTCTTCATTTCAAGTTACGAATAAAAATAAATCTCTTTATTATATAATCTATAAATAGCTTTGAAATGCCTTTCCCTGATTGGCTAACAAGCAACTTTTTGTAAAAAATAACAGGTCAATATCAGAGTATATTCACCTGTTTTTTCCTAAAAATAGATTTTCTGGAAATCCCTAAAAGACGCGATACTTTGACGTGACGTCACGCCAAGTTTGTTGTTATTATTCTGAAAAAACGTTGAGTTGGGTGTACATAAGAGTCAAGTTACCGTTTTTCATTTTTAAGAAAAATAGGGATTAGCATGCCAATGGAAAGGGCCAAATTATGGAAACAGTAGACAAGCTGAAAAATAATGATTTCCGTCGTATGCAATGGCAGATGTGATAAGCCATATAAAAGCTATTTATAGATTATATAATAAAACAGATATGTACATTTTAGCTGTTGAATATGATGTGATATGTACTGAAAAAATTAATATTGACCGAGGCGATGATGTGATATGTACTGAAAAATTAATATTGACCTCGGCTATCGCCTCGGTCAATATTAATTTTTTTCAGTACATATATATCACATATCATATTCAACAGCTAAAAAGTCCATATTTGTATAATATATCATATCTGTTTACATTGTTTTTGTATAGTGAAATATTTTAAGCTTCAATCCATATTAATATGTCGAAACATTTTTTAAACAAAATAGATAGTTAAAACAAGCGGATTTCTCTAATATACATGTATATGGCAATATGAATTGTACTTCGGAACAGCATTTGAGTGACCTTCGAATTTAACTAGAACGGCGGTTAAGATGAAAACAAACAAGACATTAATCGCTCACCTAAATGCCATTGTTAGAAAAAGTTATAATTTCTTTGATGTAGAAACAGGTGAAAAGTTCACATTCAAGGTCACCGATACTTACATACAAAGTGTACAAGCAGTTTAAATTTGAAGATTGAAACTTCAGACAAATAGGCACTTATAGAACTGAAAGAGTTTCACTAAGCAATGCATTTGTCCAATATCAAAAGTCTTTGTCTTGTGTATTCTAAGGAGAACATGTATCTTTTAAGTATAACAATTTAGTAATGCACAATGTGCAATATAATTCTTTTTACTCCAGGGGCATGATTTATTCATTTTTGTAGAGGTCCACTAGACAAAGTTACATGTTTAATTTGGAAATAAAGTTAACATTCTAACCATTTAAAGGAACAATTTTTCTGCGTCTGAAAATAAAACAACAACAAAAAAACAACAACAATAACTGACTTTATTTCCAAATGAATTGACAAAATGGTATGACATTTTATGTATGTAATTAAAACTGATGTTTTGCTGGTGAAATAAATTCTATATACTGTACATTTTTTTATTGTAAATATTTGTTGGTATACACGTGTGTTATCAAAGCAGAATACTATTATGATGAGAATGTATAACAAGCAACCCGAATTCATTCAATTTGCTACTTCTTCTTACTTTTCTCTTTCAAATACTGTATTTTATTATTATATTTGTATGACTTTAGGAACAGGAAGCGAGAAAAAGTATAATTAAATGGAAAAAAAATGGACGATATTGGACAGGCAATAAAATCGTTCAATCATTGTACTCATTAAATTTGGTTCTACCATTTACTCATTGAATAAAACGATGTGCGACTTCGTTATGCAACTTTACATAGGATGGAAATTGTTTTGACAGATAACTTACAATTGTGTGCAAGATGTTATGGCCAATTTTGCGCCTCAAAATGCATTTCATTCACTTAAAGTACCTGTTACCCAATTGTACTCAACACCAAAAACAACTTTTCGACTTTCAGGCCTAAACAGAGAGAGCTCCAAAGCAACTAACAACAGAACAGTATGTTTTTAAACACGTGTTCCGTGCGGTCTAGATTAACATATAAATTTAACGTTAACTGTATGCTTACCTCGTATTTACCATTTTTACCGAGCGTCTATGCCAACATAATTATTATGAGCCCAATGTACGATTTTGGTCACATGGTAATCCGCAATGTAGCTTTCAACATCATTAGCTGGTATTGGATCATTTTATCTGAAGGTTCCATTTGAAACAAAAATGAAAAGGCACACGAGAGAAAAGTGCATATGCTGTTATTTTATTTTTTCTGTTTCATGATTTCTATTACATTGTGATAAAACAGTTATAATATATGAAACTCGTTAGTAACTTACGGCCTCGACATTTTTTAACAACAACACCACTCGATGTCGCCCCTACCAGTGTTATATACTCGCAACTAACTCGTTTTATATACTATAACTATTTCATAACAGAAACAAGAACTGTCACAGGATATTGGACGTACAAAACTGTAAAAGAAAAATCAATTATGATATAAATATTTTTCTTCTTATGACAGGAAGTTATAGTTTTTAACATAAATTCCAAGTTCAAGGGGGAATAATTCTGGAAAAAGTCACACGAGAGTCATCGACCTTGCCACATAACATGTGTGTAATGATACAAAATGCATATTTGAAGTTTGAAGTAGATACCTTAAAGAGTAAAAAAGTTATAATATTTCTTACAGAAAATTCTAAGTTCAATGGGAGATAATCAATCTGAAAATATTGCTTCAAGAGTTATGACCCTTGTCACATAAGATGTGCTTGATGATAAGGAATATGTATTTGAAGTTTGAGGTAGACACCTTTAAAACTAAATAAATTATATTAAAAATATCATTTTTCAAGTAAAACAATCTACGTTAATGGGGTGATATTTTTGTAATATTGGTGCTAGAGTTATGAACCTTGTCACATAAGATGTGGTTAATGATACGGAACATATATTTGAAGTTTGAAGTTGATACCTTAAGAAAGGAAAAATTTTATAGTGAAAAATTCTTTAACTGCATCAAAACTTTGATCTGAAATCTGGACAGGGCAAGTAGGACAGCTCTTCGTATAGCTATATAGTCGAGCTAATGAAACATACAAATCATTAGCAAAGCAGTAGAAATTCCCCAGGTAAGGCACACACTTCGCATATATCTTTTTGAACAGAGGTAACGTTCGATTCTTCGATTTTTTTGCAGAATTTTATGCACATGGAATATTGTCTTGCACGTGTTTTGTTACTCAAAATGTCCCATTGTTTTTTATATTTTGCATGATATATTTATTCCTTGATGCTATTTTATCTCTATGGTATTAATTATGTTGACACAAATGCACAAATTAAATTATCAGGAAATGTATTATTATCTTAATGACCGATGGTCAGGTATTACCATAACACTATTGAATACAGAACATATTTATTCTAAGTACTAGAGCATATGTTTACATGTTAAAGCACTCTATCAAACTCGTATCAAAGATACAAGTCTACACTGAGTTAAACCCACGTGACTAGAGAGCAAATCATATTAGCAGTAAATTCATTAGTAATTATACCCTCTGCTTTTGTTGACATCAAAAGTCAATCTGTTTTGTTTTTCATAGATGATTACTGTGGTATTTGGCGCAATATTCCGAGGGTCAAGAGATTGAGGCGCATAGGAATTTTAGTTGCCGACGCACGCGTCCAGTTGCGTAGCTGCCAGTGGGAACAGATAGACACGTAGAGATTCCCCCTTCTATTTGCTGGGGTACGGGCCTCCTTTCAGAAATGAAGATATAAAATAGTGTTTTCCAATTCATTTTGGGGCGTTTTTGTTGCATTCAGACACTCAAATAATTTTATTAAAAATTAAAATATCTGCCATTTAACTTGAATGCCAGTGTTATCTCCATCGCTCAAATAGTGTCCATTTTCATTATCAAATGATCCGAAAAACACGTCATGGTATGGAACATAATGAATGCATTTATTCTATCTTGCTCGATGACATTGGAACTTGCATTACGCTTAATTTCGTCTTGCTTTAGGATATTTGAAATATGCCATTTTGCATTATTTCATTCAAATTTGCGTAGTGACTATAATTCTTTCATTGAGTGATAACTATTGAACTTGCTCAAGCCATTTATCGTAATGTTTTGGAATGCTAAAATGTTAACGTCATAAAACTTTATGTATAAGCTACCTTTCTCCATGCTCTATACAAATTTACGGTTAAATTCATTTTTGTATTACTTTTTTTTGTAAAAGTCGTTCAAAATCGACTATTTTTTATTCCCTACTTCCATTTATACACCGAAGATCACTGATGGATTTTGGTAAACGTACCTTAAATGATTTATCGCTCGCATGGCGTGATTACTGTTAGCTTTCGATGATTTCCATTATTCAGTGTTTAGGCTAAACAAAGTTCAGTGTCTGAGCTTTTGGATCATGTTTGGTCATCTGACATTGTATATACACAATTTAAACGAATGTATAAGCAATTGTGAATTGTTAAGGGGGCGAGAATTCTATTATGCGAGCTGCTCATCGAAATTTTCTGTACAGAAACCGCGATGACCATACAACGGGTTTCCTTTTTCGAACATAAAAATACGTATCAAGCACTAAAATATATAAAACTGCCCCTCTCAAAAAAAGAATCAATATCAGTAGAAAGGATTATGCAATATAATTTTGTATATGTATGTGATCAGTCTTATAGAAAAAACATACTTGTGGGGTTATCTAATGGGGGTACTTATTCAGTTGTTGATTTCAGGTCATGGCTTTATGGGCTGCAACCCCCACCCTCAGCTCAGCAACATATACGTTCATTAGGCTGGGCTTGAATATAAATGTGTCAGATTCACGCAATGGATTCGATCGGAACGAAATGTTTACACTGTTAACGGCTAGGTCTAGATTATTTTCGAATGCCATTGTTAACATCACAAAATTCAAATTGATACGGGCGATTAACCTGTTCAAATGCAAAAATGGTACCAGGATCGATAAAAAAGTTACCGTTTTTAAGACGGCTATGTCATTAATTCCTCTGAAATGTAACACTTTTAGCGACCCATCGAGCAAATAAAAAATTTCTTTATTCATGAAGCATTTTATCAAAATATACGACAGTCTATTTTATCACTTAACCCTTTACCACATATATACGCGAAACAATGCACTTTCGACCTCGCCCCTTTTAGGGCCTGAAATAGTGAAAAAAAATGTCCTTTTTTGCCCAAAAAACACAATGTTTTCCGTTAGAAAATGTTGCTAAAAATAGTGAGCACTTTTCGGCGCCACCCCCATCCAAAAGATACATCAGGGGGTTGTCAGAAGGGGGATGTGCCCCCTTTTTTTTGGGGGGGGGTTGAAGGGGGGCGGCAGTTCCCCTCATTGCCAAGAAAATTTTGGACATGTGAGAGGCTTAAAATGACCCCAGGTCGATGATAAGGTAACGTGTAACCAACGCCGAAAAACCTTCACTACCTCAATTCATTGAGAAGTTGCAGCACTTTGAAATCGATTGATGGAAAAAATCAAAGCAAAATAGAAAGTTTTGGCAAATTTGAGTTGTTCCTTCGTTGCCATGGTAACAGGAAATTAAAGACTGAGCATGTCGTTACAATGAAAACGGCCATTTTTCACAATATGCTCATGAGGGGAAGGGTAAATCATGTTTATTTCATACACAAATACGTGCATTTCGATGCTCGTGTTAAAATAAAATTCATATATGATAATAAAAATACTCGAAATAAAAAGGATTATCTATTTACAAGTATATCTATGACTGGCAGATATGATACAAACATCCCCCATCCAAAAGATACATCAGGGGGTTGCCAGAAGGGGGATGTGCCCCCTTCATTTTTTAAGATTAATGTTCCAATAGATGTTGGATTAGCTCAATAATATGTATGCAAACTTTATTTGCTCATTCAGTTTGCCCAGAATAATTAGTTGTAGTGAAATAAGTAGTTTGAAAATGATTCATTCGCACGGAATGAAACAATACCTTCAGCATTGGTTGAAACAATGTTTATGAGTATACATATAAATAATATTTTACAAATATAATCTAAAGCTATCATCATTGAGATATATAAACATGCATAGAGCTTTTTATGTCGGAATGTCGTACACTTCCTCATGAAGACAGGAAACCAGCAATGTCGATATTGTCTTGTCAAGATTATATGTGGTACTCAGTAATTATCCTTTACAGAGAAATAAGAACTAAAAAACCGGGTATATGATATTTAAATCTTA